GCTGATGATTTTGGTCTTGTCTTGTAGCCACAGGGCCTGGGCACCTCACAGTCATTGAATCAACCATGAACTCCTCTGTATACCAAAGTATTCCAGAGTAAAATGTGAGGCCATGCCTCCGACAGCTAAAGCTTGGCCAAGATTGGGTCATGCAACAGGACAATGATCCCAAGCACACCAGCAAATCTACAACAGAACGGCTGGAAAAAGAAAATAATCAAGGTGTTGCAGCAGTCCAGTCAAAGTCCAGACCTCATCCTGACTGAAATGCTCGGGAAAGCTATGCATAAAAAATGCCAACAAACCTCAATAAACTGGAGCAACGTTGTAAAGAAGAGTGGGCCAAAACTCCTCCAGAATGATGTGGGAGACTAATAAAGTCATACAGAAAATGATTACTTGAAGTTATTGTTGCTAAAAGTGGATCTACAAACAATTGAATCATAGTCACATAGTGAGGAATTTGTCACACATGGCTTTTCCATATTGGATTTATTTTTGCTAAATAAATAGTGACACGGTGTGATATGTCATGTGTTTTTATTCATCTGAGTTTTTATTTTACAAATTTTAAGCCCTGCCAAGGACCAGATGATTTTTATTATGTCCTGATATGGAAAACCATGGAATTCAACAGGGTGTTCTTTCTTTTTCACATGACTGTATGTCTCTTTATACTATATACACTGGAATCAACAAAATACATGACAAACTATGACATACTGTACAATTGCTGAATGCATTCCATTAAGGATATATGGGGCCTTTTAAACTTAAAAACATACACAAACTTCAAAAACACAGTGATAAGGCAAGAAGTGCATGCTCCAATGCTTTGACATGTATATATTCACAAGTCTTCTCTCAGACAGATGGGAGTTGATAATGGTGTGATCATTCATTCGTTGTCTGTACTATATACTAAGAATGTACAACACTGTCAAAACATGACAGTGACATATTCTACATTCATTGTTAATACTTTCAAATGGTCTCAGCATGTTCACTAGGCAGGAGCATTGGCCTATAATAAGAAAATCAGTTATAGGCTTGTGCAAAACAGCAGTGCAGCTATGCACAAATTAAAGCCTACTGATATGTAAGATGTTGAACATCAACAAAATTAACACTGAAACAAAGAAACTATGCAAGAAAAAAGGTTCAAAAGATTCTAGGAAAGCCACTTAAACAACACAGAACAATGCAAGTGTTTGAAAGAGCTGATATGAGACAAGAAACCAGAACACAAAATGCCAGAAATGCTTTGTTCAAACAACATCAAAGGACAAAGTTGATGTTCTTTGATACTGTTGCTTTTATCTGTGTGAGATTCGTTAACCTATATTTGTCCATGGGTTATTTAGACCATGTTCATAAAGGTAAAAGCTAGATTAATCATTAAATTGATGATTCTTTAAATAAGTGAAATGTACACTTCCATTTAAAAGTTTGGGGTTGGTAGTTTTTTTTCTTTTTTATGTTCACAAAGGCAGCATTTATTTTATTAAATATACAGTAAAAACAATAAAATTGTAAAATGATATTACAATTTTTTAAAGTGTAATTTATTCCTGTGATGGCAAAGCTGAATTTTCAGCAGCCATTACTCCAGTCTTCAGTGTCAAATGATCCTTCAGAAATTATTCCAATATGCTGATTTGGTGCTCAAATATTAAAATGTAAAAATATAAAACAGTTTCCACAAATGTATTAAGCAGCACAACTGTGAAACATTTATTTATTATTTAAATATTTTGTAACATTGCCACTTTTTTATCAAATTAATTGATCCTTGATGAATAAAAGTATTATTTTATTATATCAATGATATAAAAAAAATCTTACTGACCACAAACTTTTAAACAGTATTATATATGAACACCAAGGCTTATAAAGATAATTTTGTAAAAATTGTAATCAATTCTTAATTTTAGGTGTTATCAAGGATATTTACATGGATTAACATTCCTTTTCCTGTAAATAATAATAATAATAATAATAATAATACATTTTAGTAGTTTTCACCTTAAAAGCTGGCATCCTTTAAGTATGCCCACATTCATCTAACCTATGTTTTACCATGACAAGGACACAATAAAGTGTCAGAAAAATGCACAATAAAAACACAAACATATTTAAAAAAATAAAATAATTTTTAAAAAAATCACTATATTATGATGAATGTATGCGGTATGCATGCATGTATGCATACATGTTTGGGTGCACACATATGCACTAAGAGTGAGCACAAACAGTTTTTATCTTAGTGGCCACAGCTGGCTTTCCTCACCTAGAAAAAATCCATTAAACTTGCAATTGGTGGTGCAGTGAGGGTGAGCATACCAAGGCCTCCAGACATGTTTTCCAAGGAACAACTTAAGAGTCAAGTTTGGCCAGCACTCCTCAGGCTTAACCAATTATTGCCTAAGGTTAAGCCAGCTATATATCTTGTGTTGTGCATATTAGAGATGGATTACTGCATAATTGCTTCTAAATGGGTAAAATGAAGATAACTGAGGGAAATAATTTATACTCTGCTGGGAAAACATCCACTGGGAGTGTGATCTATGCAAATCTACAATAATAAACCTCAAGCCTATGGGGATCATTTACTCACCCTAATGTTGCAAACGTTCTTATTTCTGTGAAACACAAAAATAGATATTTTGAGAAATGTCTCAGTTACCAACATTCTTTATTTTGTGTTTGTGTGAACATATCTTCTTTTGTGTTCCTCAGAAGACATCCATCCATACAGGTCTGGAATGACATGAGGGTGAGTAAATGATGAAGGAATTTTCATTTTTGGGGGAACACTATTAACTCGTTTAAAATATATGAGCCCTGCAGAGTAGACTCCCGTAACACAGCTTAAAATAAAGACACAAAGCAAGAACATAGACTTGGAGCATATCATGAGACTTAAGTACAAACCCTGAAAGACAACCTAAGGACAAGATAAGAGAGAAATTTTAATGGGGCACTTGCATCACTCTGAAGTTGAGCAAGGTAAGAGTCCTTCCAGGCATGAATTCTTTCCTCCATTTTAGGAAAAAACTTTTATTTTTAAACTGATGATTTATTTTATTTTATTTTTTGACAAGACTACAAAAAAAGAGTTATGACAAAAGCTATAATAATACATTATTATGATTATTAAAATATGATAACTGTTTATATAATTTACTTTTATACTTCTATATTTCTTTATATTTACTAAATACAATTTTTCCTTCTGATACATGCAAAGCCTCACGTCTATCAGTCATTATCCCAGTCTTTATTACATTAAGAAACCATTGTAATGTACTCAAGAAACCTTATGATTATCGCAATTTAGTGTGGAAAACATAATACTTGGTAGTCTTTTTTTCGGTTTCTGAAGTATATTTGCCATATTTTGTTTTAGAAATGGCCAGACACGGACATCTTTTTTTCCTAGTAACTCATCAGTCTGTTCTTTCGCGAGATTAAGGCTCTCCCATGACTACTGTCTTTAAAGAAGAAAGCAAACTAGATCTAAACAGGCCAGAATGTGGACGGCCCAATGATCAACAACAAGAGGACACATACATCACAGTCTCTAGTTTGAGAAACAGACCCCTCACTGCTGCTCAGCTGGAAGCTTCATTGAACAGTACAAACGAACACCAGCTTTCCTGGAAGAGTTCAGAAAGAAATTGGAAAAATAAGAAGTAAAGGGTAGAATGAACAATATAACTGAAAAGACAGGGAGGTAAATGATTAGAAAACAATATGAGGAGTTGTTTTGTAACTGTGTGATCGTAAGGTCAATAAGAAGCCTGAGTTGGCAGATAAGCAAGTAGTTACACCAGCATTGCTCCTAGAATATGGCTGGCAGTTGCTGAATTCCATTCAGAGTAATGCTGTAATGGCAATGAAATCAAACAGACCAGATAAATCACACCAGTTTCAGTCTCAGTGATTTACCTGATGCAGGTAAAATAAAAATAGCACTTATTTTTCTTTGCGGACAAAAAAAAAAACATCACAAGAAAAACACAGGATCTATACTAATCCAGATACATTTGAAGTTGCGTCTTTTTCTCTACGTCTGGCCTTCCATGTACACTGAGATGCCATTTTGTCCAGCTAAAACAAGCTTTTTGAAGACACTCTCCCAAGTGGATAAATTTGAAAATGCTGTTTTTGCATTGGGACAGGTTTGTCATATTACACATATTGTACCAATAGACATCTATTTTTATACCGGTTTGTGTCTGCAATTAGTGCATTCGAAGCCATAGTCATCTTACACCCCGGCTGTGTTCTGGATGGTATATACCAGCATATTTCATACTAGTCAGTTGGTCTTAGACGATTAACAGAAGGTTTACAGTCTTGTCAATCGATAATATACAATTAGCTTTTTTGTTGTTGTTTTGCATTGTATTAGTTAATTCTAAATAAGAGTCTAGTAATTCTAATAATAAGATTTATATTTCAATTAAATACTGTTCTTTTTGAAGTATTCATCAAAGAATCCTGTCAAAAATGTATCACAGTTTCTACAAAATATTAAGCAGCACAACCATTTTTAATTGTGATAATAATAAGAAATGTTACTTGAGCACCAAAAGAGCACATTAATTCTGAAGGGTCATGTGACACTGAAGACTGGAGTGATGACTGCTGAAAATCTGTGATTTGCCATCACAGGAACAAATCTTTTTTTTTATAAATTGAAATCAGTTATTTTAAACTGTATAATATTTATTTTTACTGTAATTCTGGCCAAATTTAATGCACAACACTGTATGCTGCATGCTATATTTAAAAAATAGTATGTGCAACAGTACACATTATGCAAACACTTCAAACAGAAGCGTGCTACATTATTTTAACAAGACCTTGCTCTGTGAATGTTTAACTCAGCATAGAGCGTCCGTCTCGTTAATACAGAAACAAAGAAAAATTTGATCAGCAGACCAATGAAACAATGTAACAACAATAACAACGACAAAAAAAAAACAGCTGGTTCTTTCATCAATATTGGAAATGAAAGTATGAAAAGTAATGCGCATTGCTTTTTGGAATACAACATCCAACTCAGCACTCTCTGCCAAAAAAGCAAGTCATCCAGATATTCCATGCAAACAGAAAAGCTGCATATATACTGCAGGAGCATTAATATGCTGGTATGCTATTCCAAACATCAACTCTGTCTACAACAAGGTCAAATTTCAAAATTGATCTTTGCTATGCTATTAAGATGCTGTACAATTGGTTTACCATCTCATCAATTACATAAGATGTTTTAGATTAAATGAGCGAATATGAAGCTTACAAAATTCACTACACGACATGCTCGTGTGCTGGCAACGCACCTATTCATTTACTAGCACGGGATGTAGGATCAGTCTGAACCTTTTCAAACATTAGATATTTTAACAAGAACTGAGCATTCAGCTCCCGGGAGAAATCAAAACTTTGGCATTCAGGTAGCACGCTAACCTTGCTAACCATATGATGAAAGAGAACAGCACCTGATTGGCATGAAAGGGCAGCTGCTATCTACGATTTCTGCTACAGACTAAGTGCTCCTCAGATGTTGGATAACATTGGTCTTTGGGATGATGAGTGCTGGGTGTGACTCAAATTTTTTGGAAGCAAAGTGCACTAGACATGCTCCATAAAACACATTTTTTTTTTAAATTACTATATCAGGGTGCTGTTTATGTGTTATATATTAGCGTATTCAATTCATGATATGACAAAAATAAACAGTCTACCTTTGACTTCTCATCACTCTCTTCCAATTTACAGAATGAGGATTCCTTAAAATGGTTGTGCTTGATACTTCGGTATGAATCTTACATTAAAGGTCTATCTCAGCAGAATTCCTCCTTCAAGTCGCTCTGCATATACTTTACTTCTTTGCTCTTGGTTGGGTTGGAGCAGCCGTTGTGCTGGTGGTTGTGAAGGCTCTTCCGGCCTGTGTGGCCGGTTGGCTCTGAGGGGTCACACACGGTTACGACGGTGGTCTCTATTCGTGAGAGTGTGTACATGCTGCTCTGGCGCGCTACTTTATGCTGCATGGCCCGCAGCTCAAGCTCGTCATAGTCTGACACCCGCACAAAAGGGCACCAGCGGAAAACACGTTTAAAGCCAGCCCGAAACCTGAACACAGACAAGAACATATACAAAACCAGATGAATAACTGGACACATCTATGGGGAAAAACGCAATATTATTTGTACATTTATGCATGATCTGATATCGTTCACTTGTGATTGCAATTTCATGTAGATTGCAACTACAAATTTCTCACTTATTTATAACTTTATTTTACCATTATCTTTTTTTTTACTCTGAGGTGGAAACAGGCTTTGATTAGAATGAGAATGGAAAAAAATCTTTGCAAATGGCCAAAAGCCATTTAACACAATCAATCTGTCAAGTCCAAGTGACTGCACAGGACAAAAACAAAACCAATATCACAGGTTAGATGTCAGAGGCTACTGCCAACATAACAAGTCTATGTATTTTTAATACTCAAAAACTGCCAGGTACATTAAAAAGCAGCTGTTTTTTTTTTTTCATTGTATTCAACTCTTTGATAATGATTTTCTGGTTATTGAATAGCGTATGGTTGCAAATTGTCATGCCCAGGCACTGGTGTCAATTCAAACTAAGCCAAATGAGACCTTAAGAAATTAGATGTGGATTATTTATCATCCGGTCTTGCATTTTAGCCATTTATTCTATCTGTGGTGCATTTACATAAAGTCAATTCTATGGCTGTCCCAGCCTGATCAAGTTAATGGTGGATAGCAACGGTTGCCAGGCTACAACTGGTTGAGTGCTCAAAAAATTTTTTAAAAAATGCAGCGCTGTATAAAGGTCATTAGCTACATTTTATGCAGAGCCACATAACAGACTATATTCCATATAGCTCTCATACTAAAGTACAGTAAGCTTTTAACAAACCTGAGATAGTCATTTCATGCCAATGATTTGGGGGGGGGGAGATCATAAATTGTAAATCTTATTGTTCTTATTGTTAAATATTTAATCTAATTGTTACCAATGTAATACTTGTGAGGATTTTTTTCTTTACAGTGCTTCCCTGGTTATCAGGTTTACTGGCTTTAAATGGTCATGATTGGAGTTGAAAGCTGGATATAAACACATACATTTTTAATCACACTAATCTAGTTTACAATGTTTTGTTTCTTTGCTTTTTTAACCGTGAACATTTTAATCAAAGCATTCACTTGATAGACTTCCATTGTACGTGTGCTGTAAACATGGCTTCTTCTAGTTTTTAACAAACTAAAGGATGTCAGAATTTTCTTCTGTGGTGATCGACGTCACACCAAAGATGAAGTCGATAGAGCTTAACTGGTATTGAACCTGGAACATTCCTTTAATTAAAACCTTGGACAAAATCATTGACTCTGAAGGGCTTTCTAATAGTCCCTCTACTATTTTCATAACATTCACGTCTGCATGTCTTATTTTCTGTTGGCTATGCACAGGGAGAATGAAGATTTGTTTACGCTGCTTTGAAATAGTTCACCCAAAAACTTTTTTTCCCCATTATTCATTCAGCCCTTTCCTTTATAACCATCTTCTTTTCTTTCTTTTGATGATAAGATGAGTAAATAAAGATAGAATTGTCATTTTTGGAGTAAACTCTCCCTTTAATAAGTTTATGTAAATGCAGTTAATGCACCTCTTCATGTTATATCTTTGCAGAATAAAGAGAAAACAGTTCAGGGTGTGAAAATTGTTCTATGGGAAATTATGGACCATGTGGAACCAATCTTGGGTCTACATTTGGACCTTAGTCCACATTTTTCTGTGTTTTCAGAACTCAAAATGTTGAGATTATTGTTAAAAATTGTCAGCTTAAGCCTGTTTCCTGTCCCTGTCCTTCACTTGGACTGATTATTAATAACACTTTCATTTCAGTCATTGATTTATGAGTAAGAAGAAGCATCATAAGTGTGTCCATTACCTATTCATGCAACAACCAGAGGGAAAAACACTCATGTTGCTATGACAAAATGCATCTGTGTCATAAATCTCTGTGGCATGCTCTAAGTTGAGTCTTACCTGCTGTTAAGGCAGCAGTAAATAATGGGGTTGTACATGGTGGAGCTCATGGCAAGCCACATGACTGACAAATAGATCTGCTGAATAAACTTCCATCTAACCAGCTGCTTGTTCAACCCTGTAACGAGGAAATATACATGGTATGGCAGCCAGCAGATGGCAAAGGTCACCACTACGATGATCATCATTTTCACCACCTGGGAAAAAGAAAATGAAGGCAAAAGTGAAATTTTACATGATAATGTATCATAACTGGTGTGTATTTAATACACATCTGAAAAAACTGTATATATATATATATATATATATATTCACACATATATTGCAATATCACAATGAATATATAAAATACTATTAATTTATTATACTAATAATACATACAATACTATTAATTAGTAATTATGGCTTGCATACATTATACTAAATACTATTAATTACATATGTATTTACTATACTATTAATATATAAGATGCTATTATTAATTATTATATTATTATATTATATTTTTATATTATTACTAAACAAGAGCAGCTCATCATTTCGACACTGTGACTGACCTAATTTCACGCATACAAAAACAAAGAGAACAGTGGAGAAGTAATTATATCACAAACAGTTATACGGCTATGTTTTTATTCATTATGTTAATTCATTAAGACACTGCTTGTCATTCAAATCCCACAGCATCCAGCACACCCAAAAGCACCAAACACTATCAGGATACCAAAAATCTTGGTCATGTCACCAACAAGCTTAGACACTCTGGGCAAGCAATGCATCTGCAGCAAGAATGAAAACCCTAGGCAACACATTTCCAACAGAGCAAGGACACCACATGAGGTCTTCATGGCATAAGTTCTCTGTGGTGTGTGAAAAAAAAAACACTGAAAACTGTTGACTAAGTTGTAATTGCCACAATTCATATACAATCATTGTTGTTTCTCATGCAGTTCTCCATTGCTTTTACTGTTCTGCTGTAAGTAGTCAAACTGTTGTGTGTAGAGCCACTGTGCGGTTCTCCATCCTGTCAGTTTTATTCGGTCCTCAAAATATCTGCTCTCTTTTCAAGCAAGTGTCCTTCTGCCCCTCAGGGGCTTCTGCCATAACAAATCCATTTCCCATCCTTCAAGCGGTGCATTGTTTCTGTAGCCACATCACAAAGTCTGATTGGAGGAGCCTCCTGCTTCAGTCCACTAATGAATTTAATTACATTGTTCATGCCATCCCACTGAGACAGCGATTGGAGCTTGCATGGTCCTCTTACAATCTGTAGATCACTACAGTGCTCCACCTCAGGAATGAATAAACTAATGAACGAATGAAAATGTAAATATAATAGTATACTATTCATACATTTTGCCAATGAAATATTAAAGGTAGGGTAGGCAATTTCGGGTAACACTTTACAATAAGTTCTCATTTGTTAACATAAGTTAATGCATTAATTAACATGATCTAACAATAAACAATATATTTTTACAGCATTTATTAATCTCTTTTAATGTTAGTTAATAAAAATGTTCATGTTCATGTTAATTCACAGTACATTATCTAATATTAACAGATACAACTTTAAATATAATTATTGTTCATGTTAACTAATATAGTTAACGGTGTTGGGCAGTAACTAGTAACTAGTAACTTAGTTACTGTAATAATATTACTTTTTGCAGTAACTTGTAGTGTAACTAATTACTAATAAGATTCCAGTAATAATATTACAGTTACCATCCATAAAACAGCTTATACTTATGTAACGAATCAGCTCATGGGAAATATGAATAATTAATCATAACTAGTTATAATTAATTATGAATATTTTAGATCCACTGTAGATATTTAGCTGACCTCTCAGGGTCAACTGTCAATTCTAAGAACGTTAATTTCCTGGTTAAGGGAAATAACTTCCTTACTGTACAATTCTACAAAAGCTTGTAGCATAAATCTGCATGATTAAGTGACTCCAGTTAGGGGAAAACCATGAACAATGTCAAGTGTGATACAAGTAAGGTTTTATTAACTACATAAACACTTAAACTAGTCTAACATACTACATAAACACAAACTGGTCTAACATACTACATAAACTGGTCTAACGCACACATAGTTTGTATAGGAAAGGGTTAAAAGCTTAACGCAGTAAAGAGAAGA